ATTAAAGTTTTATTGAGTTATAATGATATTAAAGTTTTATTGAGTTATAATGATATTAAAGTTTTATTGTTATAATAATATTAAAGTTTTATTGTTATAATAATATTCAAAGTTTTATTGTGTTATAATAATATTCAAAGATTTATTGTGTTATAATAATGTTTTAAGCCAGTGTAAAAAAATAACCTTACTTTTCATTCAGTTCATTCTTTTGTGAAAAACCATTTTCTTTCAGTGGATAATTTAACATCTTTTTCTAGATAAATTGAGATAAAAATGATGCATGATACACTGTTCAGCATACCCCTTTAACATGTGACATGATCCCTTGCCAGGGAACTCAATGATTGAATTTAGAGACACCTCAGTTGAGTAGATTTGAACTGTCAAATTGAAGACAATATGACAAAACGCTATGAATTACGTGATAGCAGAGGTTACAGGTCAATGGAAGAGTAGGAAATCAAAATGTAGGGTAATAGCAATACTTAGTCACGTAACATAACCCAAGTTACAGGTCGATGGAAGAGTAGGAAATCAAAATGTAGGGTAATAGCAATACTTAGTCACGTAACATAACCCAAGTTACAGGTCGATGGAAGAGTAGGAAATCAAAATGTAGGGTAATAGCAATACTTAGTCACGTAACATAACCCAATGTGCATAACGGCAGTCAATAATAAGAAGTGAAAACTTGATAATGCAACATTAAAAAAACAACAAAAATATTCCGCTCAGTAGATTTTCATTTGAAATTGCATTTATCTATTATGGACCTACGAACTGATTTATTCATTCAATCAGTGATCGCTTTAAACAGCTCCAAAATGAATAATCCATTTTAAATTATTGTTTCAAACAAAATCTAATGGCAACTGTTCTGAGTTTTTTAAAGTCAGAACTAACATAAAAAACGAGTTTTTACTTAGTTTATATATATTCCGCCAGTTGGATTCTATGATAGGTGCCAGTGGTTTATACTACTATCCAGGAGGAGTGTCATGTTTTCTGGTTATACATGTGCAGTTAACATTTATCAGACGTAAATGTAGTCGCTATCCAAACTAGATTACCTTTAGTGTTTTACACTAATAACCATCATTCAAAAGTATTATTTATGTAGAAACATTGGATCATTGAAGATGGATACCGCTGTTTTTATGCAAGGAAATAACCAAACAATTCATAATTGCTACGTTATTTATTATGTTATTTCATTAAGTAAAAAATTCAAGTTTGAAAGTTTTGATGGTTTTTTTTTAATTATTGAGAGCATTTAGTTGAGTAACCAACTGAAATATTGGCTGCTGTCAAAGCATCTTCTGTTTATATATTAAAGAAATGGCCAGGTGGTTAGGGGGCGCTCGACTCGCAATCTGCGGGTCGAAAGTTCGAATCCCCGTCACACCAAATATGCTCGCCCTTTCAGCCGTGAGGATGTTATAATGTGACGGTCAATCACCCAATTCGTTGGTAAAAGAGTAGCTCAAGAGTTGGCGGCGGGTGG